ACACTAAGGTTCTTGTAAAGGTGAGCGTCCTCTTATGTAGCGTCCGGTTGGCGCCAAACCAGGGAGATATTAATGTCGTTGACAATTGGCACGCTTTGCGTGGTTCTAATCGGGGTAGCGCTTCGCGGGTTTCGCTTCTCGTGTTTTCGCCTAGGACGGTCCTTTCGAAATTTTTTTTGTGGGCGCTGTAAAGCCTGGGCAGACGGATTTTTTTGAAGGGGGGGGGGGTGCAAGGTGGCAAGGTGGGGCGCGCGCAAGGGGTTTGGGCGGGGGGTGGGGAAGGGGCGTTGTGTTGTGCTGTTGTGCAAAGGAGGGCCCGAAAGGCGATCGCCTGGCCGGCAAAGATGCAAGTCAGGCCGACGATGGTCATCGAGTTGAAGACGGCGGCGCCGACGATGTCGCCGATGCCCTCGTCCGACTCGGTCACCATCGTGGCGATGATCACCGTGAAGAACTCGGGCGCCGACGACCCGACCGCCATGAAGGTTGCGCCGGCGACGTCCTCGGGAATCTTGAGCACCTCGACCACCTCCTCGATCGCCTCGACGAAGAAGTCGTCGCAGACGATGGCGATGCCGACGAAGCAGTAGAACCTGCGCGGGGGCGGGGGTGAGGGGGCGGGCGGAGGAGGGGCGGGGGCGGGGGGGCGCACATGATGAAGAGCCAGACGGCGACGCCGCCGCTCGTGTCAAAGTCGGTCAGGTCCCAGTAGAGGACCTGGCAAGAGTGGACCTTGTAGGGCGGCGCGGGCGGGCAGGGCGGCGCGTTATCCGGCAAGCCCTTGCCGCCCTCCACCTCCGGGAAGCCGCCCTCCTCTGCCAGCTGGCGGTAGTGGTCGGGAGCCGGGGCGGAGTCCGAGTAGTTGTACAACGGGTTCATGTAGTGGCAGTCAAGCTTGAGCTTGCCCCCGGGTTTGCCCCAGCCGACGACGGGCCCGCCCCCTCCGAGACGGCGGCGATGAGGTGCGCCCTCCGAGGCGAGGTGCGCGTCCGACTCGCCGCCCAGGTAGGCGAAGGCCGCGAGGCCGCAGGCAGCCATCGCAAAGTAGGCGAGCTTGACGTAGCGGCGCACGTCGCGCTGCTCGTCGCTCATCGCGGAGAGCTTGCGGGAGATGGCCATGGCTGGGATCTGCGAGGGGGTGGGCGCGGGTGGGCGGGGCGGGCGGGGGCGGGCGGGCGGCTTGTGGGACCGAGCCTCCTGACCTGTGTCGTGCGACGGGCTTCTCAAACCAGATCACCTTGAGAAGGCGGTCGAACGCAGCACTAACGTGCGCTTTCCCAGGCGCCGTCCTGTTTTTTTCCTTTTTAGAGTGTCTTGTGTGGGTGAGTGTCTGTGTGTGTGTCGCTCCAGCGTGTCGTCATCTTCTGTCTCGCGTCCACCCATACCGCGTTGGTGTCCAGTCCGAGCCAGGCTGTTCTTCGCCTTTGAAGACGGAAGAGAAGCGTGATTTCTTGCAACCCTTTTCCTGGCTCACAAGCTAAAGATGTTCACCTCAACACGGAGCCCCGAGAACTCTTTAGCTGTACTCGTCTATAGAGGCACGCGTTGGATTTCTTGTTGGGCTTTCGCAGGTCAGTCAGTCAGTCAGTCTTACACACCTCCAAGCATGGAGGACGGGCCCACACGCACACACACGCTGCACACGATTGGCTCGGGAGCCGACACGAGGCACACTGTCACCGGCCTTAGCACCGGGTCCGGACTGCTGGACACACAGCACGCAACAACGGTATTGCTAAAATCTCTCTCTCAGCACGCAGCTCACAGGACAGCTCACCAGGCGGCGCTATATAGTGGGCTTTCGCAGGTTTTGAGAGAGATTTTTAGCAATACTTTGTTTTGTGTTGCAGGGTTTCCGGCAAACAAAAAGGAAAACAGAGGGTCCACAGCACTTTGCGTTTCCGGAAATTTCCAGGGAAAACAGAGGGTAGTTGGTGCTCCATTCGGGAAACTCGCGAGTTTCAAGGTCTACTGATTTGGGCCCAAAAAGGCCTCAGCTCACGGGAAAATACTCCCTTAATGTGGGTAAACCATAGTAGCGTGCACGCTACTATGAACAGAGAAGCCGATAAAAGTCGCCGCTGTTCCACGATGAGCGGCCGGACGCCGTGCCTCTTCAGCAAGGCGATCATGCGCAAAGGGAAGCGCAGGAAACCGACTGCGGGCTCTCCCTCCGCCAGCTCGCGAGCACACGAAATCGCGCCGCGGTGGAGCCACACAGAGGCGTCGCACGCGAGAGTCTGCCCGCGGTAGTCCTCGAGGCTGACCTCCGTTGACGCGCTCGAGACGAACGGAAGCAGCCCTTGCACGCCCATCGCGAGTTTCGCAGAGCACAAGCCCTGAAGCGCACGGCTTTAGCGACAGCTCAGATTGCGAAGCGCCTGGCCGGTGGGTCGGGTCGATCAATCGGACCTCACCTACCTACCTACTCCCTTAGTGTGGGTAAACCATAGTAGCGTATACGCTACTATGAACAGAGAAACCCATAAGAATCGCCGCGGCAGTCCACGCCGAGCCGGCCTGCTGCCGGCTCGCACGGCAGCCTCTTCCTCTCGACCAGCCTCAACTTCCGTACAGTCAACATTTTGTCGCTGCGTGCTCGTGGCGAGCTGTGGCGGCGGTCGAAGTTGGCCCAGATTCGACGACGAGCGCCGGACGATAGTAGTGTCTCTGTTCGCCCTGTGCATGTCAGGCCAGGCTGCAGCAGGGCACTACCATCGTGCTGCCCTGTTGCAGCCTGACTTTTCCCACTGTGCACAGTCGCCAGAGCACCACCACCGCCCGGCATCGTGTCACGGCGAGCTCCTTCTGCGCCCGCTCGCGAGGCTCTCGCGCTGGCACACTTTGGACATCTTCTGCTCGCGTTCGGCGAGCTCTTCTCCGCACTCCTGCCACGGCGCCGTCACCAGACACCTTCTGGCCGGCCTGAGCCGCGCGGGGTCGCCGGCGGGGGCAACGCGTCGACCTCTCTCTCTGGTGCACCACGGGCCGCGACGGCTGCTGGCAGCAGGCGTGAGGAGGCAGTGTGCCGGCACAGTCGAGCCGGAGCATCGGGTTCTTGATGCTTGTGGGGTCAAGTTTGACCTTATGTGGTATAATATGCAACAATAATGCTCTGTTATCTCCCGGCTTTTTGAGATATGATCCCTCAAAGTCGAATTATGGTTTACTGGTGACCATAGTAGTGTCTGGCCTGTTTGCGTTTCTTCAAACGAATCCTTCAAAGTCTCGACAATCACCAAGCTGCTTATGTGGCACCGCAGAGGCTCCCTTGGGGATGCTTGAGGCCACCCCAACCACTCACGAAGCCGTACGTGGACGAATTCAAATCTACTTTTATGGTTTACCTACATTAAAACGAGGGAGTAGAGAGGAAAAGAGAGGGGTAGAGAAAAAAGGAAAGGAAAACAGACGGAGTGCGAGAGGCAAACCTGCGAAATCCCAACTTTCTTGCCTCTCTCCTTCCCCTTTTTCTATTAATACCGACGCTGTCGGGGTCTCGGGGATCGCTTGTCATGTGAGAGAGTGCACCCATACCGCGTTGGTGTCCGGTCCGAGCCTGACCGTTCTTCACCTTTCTACCTCACCTAACCTAAGAGTGCGTTGTGTTCTTGTTTTTCGAGAGAGAGACAGAGAGAGAGGAGAGAGAGAGAGGGAGGGGGAGAGAGATGAGAGGTGAGAGTTTACTGTGATGCGTGTGTGTGGTCAAGCGCGCGACGCATCACTCGAGACACGAGATCTGAGGGCCCAGAGATAAAACTTCTGGGGCCAGCATGACCTAGTAGTGTCCCCAGCCATGGGGGCGTGTCCACGACCACGTTGGAGCCAGGTGTGGTGTGGGCGCGAGATAGGATCTGCAGCAACCCGCGCCCACAAGCACGGTGTGTGTATGCGAGTCGACTGGCGAGTGTCGTCATGGTTTCGTATGAACGAAGCCTGAATACTCTCTCACACACACAAGCACGGTTTATACTCCGTCTTCCGCGCCGAGCTTTTATAGGGTCGGACCTTGAGACAGCGTGTGCATCCGGGGTGGAGCTTGCCAGCCCGCCTGCTGCTGCTCTGTCCCGGCGCCAAACACCGCCACGTCTCACATCACAAGTGGCGGGCGGTCTCGACTCTCGTCCCGGTTTACTTAATTACTCTTTGTTTCGTGTTTACTACAGACCCAGTGGCAGTGCCACTGCCAGTCCCGCAGCGACACACTCTTCTTCACGAGGTCCAGCCCACACGCCACACCGTGTGGGCCACAGCGCGCCCCCCTACTGCGACAAACGGCTTCGCCTTCGGCCGCGAGCCCGCGACTGGCAGTCACGGGAGAGACTGGGACTCCCGTGTCGTCCCGCCTGCGAGAGCGGAGAGGAGGATCGATCCAGCATGAGCATCCATCCACTGCACACGCACGGAACTCGGAAGTCGGAACAGCTCACCGCACACTGGGCCGTGCCCGCGGTGTGTCCTGTTGTGCGCACAGCCGACAAGAGAACGCAGACCACTGGACGCGGCCGGCTGCAGAGTCGTGAGGCTCTCCTGGTAGATAGAGTTTTCCCGAGAGCTTCCCAAGCGCACGTGTGTGTGTGCGTGTGTGGCGTGTGCGGATGTCTGCGTACGGCTCTATGTGCCGAGCATATGTGTCCCCGAACCCATACTAGGACCTTGTAGCATATGGGCGCCTCTGTCGGGTTCGAGTCTGTCGTCAGCGGCTCGCAAGGCCCAACCCTAAAATTGCGGCTGACAAGGACACGTAATTCTCGCCACATATATCACGCACTGACGCTATCATTTTTGCCCTCTTACGCCGCGGGGTGACGCCTCAGTCCGGCCCTCCGAGGGGGGAAGGGAATTGCCGGGTCCCCACGGGCGCCTCAGTTCGGCCCTCCCGAGGGGGGGAGGGGAGCAAAAGGAATTTTACAACTAAACTCCCTCCTCACTGCTGTCCTGGCTCCTGCTCGTAGTCCTCTCCTTCCTCACCGTTGCGGCCGCCTGGCCCATCGACGGATCCGCCAGCCTCAGCCTCCTCGCCCTCGCCCTCGTCCGCCTCTCGCAGCAGCGCATCGTTCATCTCATTCAGTATCCCGGCCGCCACTTGCTGCTCGCCTCTTTGGCGGAGCGTATATGTTTGCAGGCTCACCGTCTTCGTCGCAGACGCTGTCGCGTCGAGGAGAAGGCTAGAAGTGGTGGCGTTGACGGCGATTCGACGAGTTGGTGCTCTCAGGATGAGCATCTGTACCCAGAGCAGCAGCACCCCCGTTGCCAGCAAGCCGGCAGCCATTCGACGGGAAAGCATTTGCCACGCTGAGGATCATAGGCGAGGATCAAAGAGGGATGGGTGCCCAAGCACCGCGTGCCGTGATTTTTTTTGACGGTATCGCTCACCTTGCGCACTGGCACTGTACAGAAGAATGAAACGACGTGCGTCATAGCTACATACACTGAAAAATGGGAGGGAGAGCCACATACATCAAAACAAGTATTGCTAAAAATCTCTCTCCTCATAGGACAATGACTCATACATCCAAACAAAACAAAACAAATTGTTAAAAATCTCTCTTACATCCCACGAAAAGCGGGAACCCCCGTTCATTTCCATGACCAACCGGGTGTGTGGAGTGTGCGCCGCGCGAGGGCGAGGCGTCGCGTGCCGCCGCGGCCCACGGCGCGTTCGACCGTGAATTCCGCCGTCCAGGCGGAGCGTGCGGACCTCGCATCAGATCTTCCCGAGCCCCAACACACCTTCCGGGTGCGAAACAGACTACCCTGGGCACGTAGCTGATACCCTCAAAACCTATTCTCAGACCCCTCTTCATCAGCAGGGGCCAGCGGCCAGACTCAGACGGCGCCGACCACCATTGTTCGTCCGGGAGCCCCCCTCGCGGCCTCGGCGGCACGCCCCTCGCGGCGCCCTGCAACGGCTGCTGCGCCAACGGGCTGCTGCCGTCAGGACATCCCCGCCTGCGAGGCGATTATAGTGGCTTGGCCGCCAGAGCTGACGGCAAAGCACCATCCGTGCGACTCGTAGCTCTGAAACTCGTACCGGTTGAGCTCCTCGGAGCCCCTCAGGAAGCGCAGCAGCTTCGCGTTCGAATCAAAGCTGATCGTGATCTCGTCCCCGTCTGTAAAGCCTATGCCCTCGGTATCGACGCCCTTCGCGGTGAGCGTGCCGTTGCAAACCATCGTGACGGCCCAGTCCTCCCACGACGCGCCCTCGTCAAGATCCACACCCTTTGCGTCCACCATCCCAATGTCGAGGTACGCGCCGCTGCCCAGCTGGTGGTCAATCCGAAGCGTGACTGACCACGTGCCAGTGCCGGCGAGGATGGGAGCGCTGCAGAGAGCCGTCACGTGCCTCGCAGCCTCGCACGTCTTGCCATCGGTGATGACAGCAATCTTGCCAGCCCTGTCCGCTGTGAAGACGCCCAGCGCCATCGAAGGTCGCGCGCGCTAGCAGGGCGTCGGGGGGCACAGGTTCGCGCTCGGGCAAGTCCGATCCGCACAAAGTAAAAGGGATCGCCGACCCCGCCGGTGCACCACGCAAGACTCCACACATGGGGCCACCGTGGCACGCGATCCGCCGTGGCGTTCGTCTGGTCTGGATTGTGTGGACCGCCTTTCCGCCGGTAGCAATCATGCTCTGGGGCATCGCCAAGCCCGAAAAGATGATGGACTTTCAGGCTCAAGCGTTCCGGCCCTCGGAGGACCACGGCTTCAAGCTCGTCCCCGACGCCCCCATTGTGGTGTCGCACCTGGACACGTCGAGCTACTCTGCCAGCCAAAAGCAGTGTGTCTTCCAATATGGCGAGTTTTACGGCTCATTCTGGCTGGGGATGCTGTGCATGATGGCCTTTGCGCGGAGCCCTGCGACCGAGCGGGCTGTGTGCATCACCTGCTTCATCTACATGGCGTTCGTGAGCAACGCGACGTGGTACCAGCAGGCCAACTTCTTCGAGGGGAACCTCTCCTTTGTCTTCTTCGATCTCTTGCAAGGGGCCATCTTTCTTCTCCTTGCTTTTGTTGTCCCAAATCAGACGGCGGAAGTGAAGCCGTTGGCCAAGCCACTGCTTGAGGGCGGAGCGTAGGCTCCTTGTGTCGGGCCCCAACCGCGGAGCGGGCTAACCTCCGGCTCCGCGAGCCATTACTGCCGAGTAGCACCCAAACGACGGGAGACGTGGCTGGCTCAGGCCTAGCGTGCCGGCTCAGCAGCGAGCGGAGGGAGGTCTTCACTGTGATTCGTGGCGCCCGACGTACACATACGTTCGTATGCATGGACTTGGTGTGGGCCCTCATAATTCATATACACAAATTCACCGCCGACACGCACAGCGCACACACCGACGGAGCCCCCCCCCCCCTTCCCGGCCCCGCTCTCACCGCGCGCTCTCAGACCGCTATATCGCGTGTGCGTATAAGGGGCGCTAGAGCTTGCCATTGAGCTATGGCATGCGTGCCGGCATTTTTCTGACCGCCTGCAGACGTACGCCCTCTTCTAGCGGGGCTCGATCGGGCTTGAGCATGGAGAGGGACACGGACAAGGGAGACGCGGCAGCGGCGCGACGAGGGGGGCAGCGCACAGAGGGGCAGAGGGGGTCAGCGGCAGGATGCAGGCAGGATCGAGGATGCAGCAGGGGCACAGCAACACCGACAGAGGCAGCAGCGGCGTAGTGGTAGACATAGTGCTCGACCCGAGCGTGTAGCTGTAGCGCACATCGATCACGGCTCACCGCCCGCGGCCGGGGCGCGGGCGGGGGGCCCGGGGGACTAGGTCCAGCCCTGGGGTGAGCCGGGTTGTGACATTTGGCGATTCCGCGGCTTACTGGGCCCCTGAGCCGCTCCCCGTGTGCGATTTTTTGTGGCCCGGGCATGATACTGATAGAGAGAGTAAACGGGTCAGAACCGGCCAAACACAGGCTACAGCCCCACACACGCGCCCGCCATAGCTCCTGGAGAGCATGCGCGAGTGACGCGCTACAAGCCGCGAGAGTGGCATCAGAGGCAGGAACGACGTGCTCTTGCTGCACCTCGCAGCTGCACCAAGTGTGCTCGCAGTGTATGCCACGGCCGCCGCCTGCGGCAATGCTCTCGTGCAGCTAGGCGACGCAGGTCCATCAGCAGGGCTCATCCAATGCGAGCGCACATCGCCTGCTGCTGCCTGATTCAGTCAAGCCAGCGGTGCAGCAAGGCGTGCAGAATTCGCGCGGTTTGGTACCTCCTGAGGCTGAGCGCGTTCAGACCCGGTGACCGGAGTTGGATGGTTCGATGGAGCTCGCCGAGCTCCATCGAACCATCCATGGCCGGACGGCGGAGCGTGAGGTGGCGATGTACCGCAAGACGAGAAAAACACGGATCTGACGCGATGTCAGGCAGCTCGGGCATCTGCCTCTGCCCCCTCGCCGCATCGACGAGCGCGCTCGTGTCAGCGCGCCGCTGCTCCTGGTGCCGCTGCATGGCCGCCGCGCTCGCACCCGCTCCGCTCAACGACATTGTGAGGAAGCAACGGTCTGCGAGCTCCTTTCGCCCAGCGGGTCCACCTCTCCACAGAGAGTTCTCCCAGTCATGTGCCAAATGCGCCCGCCGTTTTTCGTCGTACCACCCCCTCGAAACCCGCCGACTTTGATTGGGTCCGGTTCAACCTCACTCTCATCTTATCTATTACAGACACAAAACGTCAGATCTGGCTCACCCAGCGAGGGCTGGACCTAGTCGGGACAGTGTCAGCGTGAGCAGACTCTCGTGCTGAGCAGTGTTATTCTCCGCGCCTCGGCTCTTCACATAACTGTACGCGGCCTCATTCACATTACTGTACGCAGTACGACACATCAAATGAACACACTAGTTACATCCAACGCAAAGCGCATGGCCCCATGGACACACTAACTCTTTAGTGCCCGAGGACACACTAACTCTAGTGGACTGTGGAGTCACCAGTGGCCCTGGAGACAACTCTAGTGCACGACCCCGCGGTGTCCGCCGCCTCACAGGGGGCACGCAGACACACGTGTACAACAGAGGGCGCCACGCATCTGCATGCGGCTCCCGACAGCCTCGTAGCGCTTCGTCCCGTCGAAGGCATCGGATCCCACCCCCTGCCGTACGTCTCGCAGCTGTCTGGTAGTAACACACGGAGGGGGAGGGGATGGGGGCGAGCGAGAAGAGGCGCGAGGGCGCGGGCCGCGCGCGGCGATAGGGGGCGCGGGGGGGATGCCGCGCCTCGTGCCCGGGCAGCCAGAGCGTGTCCAGCTCCGAGAGGGCTCC